ACAGCTTGAATATTCACATGTGCACATGCCCATACCTAAACCATGTTGTGTGACTCCGTAATGAGTCAGATAAATTGCATTATAACTTTTATAAACAAGGTGAACCTACACATTTTTGTCAAAGCTACTGATCCATGGAATATTTTGAAAGCAACAAGCACACGAGGTTGTCCATGTGCATTGATCGTATGCAAAATCATAATGGCACTTGGTTTTTGTAAATTTTCAAGATTCCTGGAACTTCTTACTAAGATTTCTCTTTATTTGACTATGCCATGTTGCAACCTTATTTTTCTTTTGGTAAATGATTGCGACCTCTAAAGGCCACCATTTTCCATTTTTTTTTTATTACTCCTTGCACTTGCAACAACAACAACAACAACATACCCAGTATATTCCCAACTGGGGTCTGGGAGGTCAGTTGTACGCAGACCTTACCCTTGTAATTATACAAGGAGGCTGTTTCCGTAGCGACCCAAGGTGCATTGCGCCGTTTGATATATTTTTTTTTCTAGAAACTTCACTAATAGAAGAAGCACTAGAATTTAATTGAGCCATTTTGATCTAGTCCATTATTAGCACTATGCCAGGAGAATTGTCAAGAATGACTCTTCCAGCTCCATTTGCAATGGACAATACTCCTTGCACTTGGAACAAGAAAAATGCAACCAGAGTCATCATAAGTCATACCTCATGCCTTCCAAATTCATTTGGCATACATTTTTTGGTGGATTCAAAATATTCACTGTAGCATCACAGATTAAAATAGCACTATATGGGCCTTGAAAATTTAAGGTAGTGGAAAAAAGTTGCTATCTGGTCATGCACCGATATAATTGCTCGCGACCGACCCGTGAAGCAGACCTTTCAACAAACTTGATAACCCATCGTCACTAATTTAAGACTAAAAATTAAGCTACAAACACCAAAATCAGCTGCCATTCCCCTTCTTTACAGTCCATTATTCAATAATTAGAAAGCTAGAGATAGATAATCAGGTATTCATATTAGTGCATCAACGCCTACACATACAATTACTTCAATATCATCAAAACCATGCGCAATTAAACAACAGAATAAGAAAATCATATAGGTCGAAAAACGCAACTAACAACACAATCAATCAAACAGCGCGAATACCGAAGAGAATACGTACCCTCGACAGCAGCCATTGGAGGAGCAGCACCGGCGAGTTCTCCGGCAGTATGTGCCAGGCCATTGGAGGGCGAGCTTGAAGTAATCGAATTCTCTCTGTTTGCTCCCTCCTTTCTCAAAGATTCCCCCAAAAGTCCCAACGGCGCTGCTGCCTGCGACACAGAACAACCCAATCGACGCAATTACAACGAAGATTAGGGATCGAGCTGCGAAATTAAGCGGTGAGGCCATTGGTGTTGTACGGAGAGACGGGGATGCTGTCGAGGTAGTTGCGTGGTGAGACGAATGAGCTATTATTATTAGAGTTGGTTTTTATAGTGATAAGGTTAGGTGCCATACTTGGTGGGATTCTGTCGTGGAAGAAGAAAACGTTGAAAATGCCGGAAATAAATAGTGACTTTTACTTCTCTCCGTTTCTTAGTAAATGTCGTTTTAATTTAAAACTTCTAAATTACGATTTTAATGGGTTGTGTAATAATTTTATTTTTTAATCTTGTTAAATTTAGTTTTTAAATTATTAATGGGTGATTTTTAAAGATAATGATAAGAGATAATGTTTGTTAAAGAGAATAAAGATGTAAGAATGAATATAATATTTCCAACGACAATTAATTTGCAAAAAAGTTGACACCCTACAACGACATTTAAAACGAAACAGATGGAGTATGTTTTTTTACTTTAATTTCAATATAGTATGGTGAATTTTCCCTTTTTGTTATTTCTTNAGTATAGAGTAGTTTACGTTGAATGCCAATCAAAGCTCGGTATAACTTTTCTAATTTGGTGCATATTGGCATGGGTATATGTAAAAATTCTACGAAGTCATCGAATAATTTTTTTTATAGAACCATCCATCATTTAATGTATTAATATTTGTCCAAAGTGTATTTATTGTAGGACACGTGTCAATATATGTTCTCATATAGTTAAAGGAGCGATTGTATACAAATTGCACAGTATAAAACCCAATCAAAACTCATATTTAACTCAACTCTACTATTTTCAATATTATAAATATAATTAAATAATATCAATCAATTATTCTTACACATCACATCAACTTTAATTCACTATTCATCTATGTTGTTACCACTTTTCGTAACAACGAATGTTCAGATTGGATAGCTGGGCAATGGATAGAATATATCGTGCTTTTGAGTTATTTGCATTTTTAAGAGAAAATATCGGACTGTTCTAGCTAGTTCGGCGGATTTGAGCTAGGATATCTGAGGTGTCCCGCCAAAAAAAAGAAAAAGATTCCGACAACCTTCACTTTCTATCTATTTATAATAGGTACATGTATACTATATATCTACTGTTCATTGTGTGTAGTACAACTAGGTGTAGTACATAATCCGTACTAAATCGAGCCATTACTCCTTCATTAAATGCACAATGATTGTTTTCGAATCCCGGAGGCCATCGGAGGCATGGGCAGGCTGACGCGTGTCCCTGACGGCAGTATGGTTGTAGGTCCTGTCCACATTAAATATGCTTGTCCCCTCGCTTCGGCAGGCTAAGAGTCCGGCGTCGATGTGAGTCCGTCCACTATCGCGCGGATCCTCCCGCTACCGGATGCACTCGCGGTCAATCGTAGTCTCTCGCGTTCTGTGCACGCGTCGCACCTTTATAGGTAGGCATATCCAGATGTCAACAATCTACTCACATAATTTTAACTAACTATCACTTCCAATTATTTTCTCCTACTTTTACATCAAATCAACTTTAATTATTTTATTTTTAATATTATTTTAATATATCAACTAATAACTAACTATACCACATTTTTTCAAACTTAACTATAGTTAAAAAATAACTAATTTTTTACTATTATAACCCCTAAACATGTCGTGTGTATATTTCTTAAGATACAATATAAAATCTCAATTCCCAATTAATTACACATAAAACCTTGAAAATTACACCAAAATAGAAGAAAAAGTGGCCCAATACTACAGCAGCCACTAGGCTGCCGCCACGTATCAATTCTCCCCATGAAAGCCAATTGAAGAACCCTTGAAAGTTTTGTTTAATACACGCTCTAGATTCCCGATCGATTTAACTCTTATCAGTTATCAGGCTTCAGCCCCATTTCCCCCCAACACAGATTTCCCTCCATTGACAAGCTTCTCAAGCAGCTCGGACTTCCTTGTACAGTTCCTGGCCTTTCTTGTTCCGTGCATTACTGCAAAACCCGAGCTTGACCGGAAAATAGTTGCAGACGCGGGGTTTTGTCGATCGGCGATATTCGAACCTCAAAAGGGGGAAAAAATCCCAGAATTTCCGTTGCTCTTCCGGTGACGGCGTGACTGTTATTTCTGTCTGGAATTGATGGTGGCTTCGCCGTGTTCGGTATTCTCCTTTGTTCAGCGTGATTGAATATGGGTTGGGGTTGATTTAGGGTTAATGATTATTTCATTTTACTTCCTTATATATATATTTTAATTTCAATAGGGTTTCAATCAACAGTTTTCGGTGTGGATCCAGTCGGGTAGTGGGTTTTCGTGGAATGGTTCATTTCTAACTTATGATTCGGTATTTCCGGTTGTGTGCTGAAATACAGTGGGCTGCTGCTGATTGTCTTTTTGTTATCTTGTTTTAATAAATCCGAAGCTTTAACTCTGTTAGGTTTATCATTGTGGAAAGGGCCTATACTATATAGTTGTATGTTAGATTGCTTTAAATTATATTTGAGAGTTTATATATCCCTGATCCTATTTTAGTTGGTTAAGTTTCTGAATAATCTAGGCGAGGTATCTAAATTGATTAATGGCTGTATGTTGTTATTTACAACAGTAGTTGTTGGAACCCTGTTATTTACAACAGTAGTTGTTGGAACCCATGATGAGATTGAGTTTTGTGGTTGGGAATTTATTTATTTGTGTGTCTGTAAAATAACTTTTTTCATTTCCTTGAAAAAACGTTCCGTTGGAAAATTTTCAGTTATCGGGATGCCATGAATATTAATTGATCATGATTTGGCATTTGGCCTCGCTTGTGGCATTAATAAGTATTCACTATGTTCTGCAGTAGGTTCATGTTCAGATAAGGGACTTAGGAATATTGATTCGTTAAATGAGTTCATTTACTGCATAAAAAGGAATACTAGTACCTTGTTGCAAGTTTGCATTTTCATCAACTCACAATACTGTGATAAAGATGCATTTTATGGAATGATAATGAAAATTTAATTGTAAAGCGTAGATAATTAATTCTGACAAAGTCTGGGTGTGTCTCGTGGTCATATTGGGCCAAAGGTCATGGTTTGTTAACTTGTCCTTTCATGTCGCATTAATGAGTAGTAAACAATAATCGTATATTACAGTAGGGCGAGAGAGTTGCCATCAGTTGTATCAATGCAGCATGTTCAGACAACGAAATTATCAAATTCATAGAACCTGCTCATTTATTGCATGAAAAAAGGAATACCTTTACATGTTACCTTTTTAGAGGTTTGTATTTTCATCAACATACAAATTCTGATAAAATATGCTGTTCAAAAGTACAAAACAAAATTTAAATGTAAACAGACATAGTTACTTCTAATGCAGCCTCTGATCCCGACAAATACAATGAAAATATTAAATAATAGTAAATCACGCAATTGCTGCTGACCCTGAAGTAGGTTTGTTTCCCCAACAAAAAAGCTCTGGAATGGATAAGATAAATCAATCCTCTATCTCTCCTTTTTGTGTATCACTCTTTGCTGAAGGTCTTACTATGATACAGCAAGTCTGGCGTGTGGAGTAATTTCCTGTAATTTAAGAGCCTAATATCAGCAACATCCTGACTGATAGGGCCATAGGGGTTCATATGTGTCAATCTGTAAATTAAATATTTTTAAACATTTTCATCCAATTTACATTTTAGCAAGATTACTTGAATCACCAGTTATTAATTAGGAAATGTGTATATTGAATCATTATTAGCACATTCAAATGTTCTGCGAAATCTCTGTGAAGAAGATTTTGGGATCTGTTGAATTTTGAGTCCATGCTGTGTTTTTCATTCTTTTTATCACTCTTTCTGACCTGTGACCCAAGTCTTCTATCTTAGTGCGCATCCAACTAATGTGTCATGTGATCATTATTTAGGAACTCTGCAGGTATTGAATAAATTTGTTCTCTTATTTTTCCATAGCTTTTGCCTTTTGCTCATAATGGTGTCATTACTTTATAGTCGACTTAGGTTTGAAAATAAAGCCAGTCGTCAAGTTAATTATTCTTTGCTTTGTTCCTGTAGAATCTTTGGCAGTGATGAGATCCTTTGATATTAGAAGCTGATCAATGGATCCCGATAACAAGAAGTTTGGAAGAGGTAATGATTCTTAGTATGGAGTTTGCGCAGCTATTTTTGTTTGCTTGGTTATATTGTACTCTGGTATGAGACTAGAGTGAGGTTATGTAACACGTTATTGCGCATTACTAAATATGGGAATCTAGAAATGTGTACTTTCTTATCTCCACGCTGGAGGTATCAGACAAGGTAAGGTTAGCGGAGGATATTTTCCTGGTGTGTCAGAACATTTTTTAAGACAGGTGTAATTTTGGAGGCATAATGGATGAATTTTGGTGTGATCAAGTCTTTTGTTTATTTGTGGGACCAATAGTTCATTCAACAATGTTGGAAACCGTTTCACTTCTATTCTTTCTTTTGTATTTTAAATGAAAACCTTCTTGTTCATTTATGGAGTTGGTTTCATTGAAACCACATAACAAAAAACCGTAGAAACAGATGTCAGTGTTCTTTTTTAGAGCGTTCAGTGCTTGCGGTTATCCACTCACTTGAAAGTTGTATTTCTGTATATAAAACAAAGTAAGTCCCAGTGAGTGCAATATAACACACATAATTTGTCTGCTAGTGTGTGGGGAATTTGGTATTATGGCAAAATTGACACAGTGATCTCTTTCTTTGATAGACCAGTCCGGCTCTCCGCATGGTTTCTGGTATTCCACCTATTGCTTGTTTTTGGTCAAAGGATGTAATTTTTAACATATTTACATTGTTCTCAAGTCTTATACATCCCTGTACCACTTTTATCCGTATATTCGAAAGAGAGTTTTGATTGTAATCCTGGAGGTGATGCATTTGGCACAATGGCACATTTGTTACTCTCAATTCATCACAGTTGTTCCATTGATTGGTGGAGTGGCTAACGATATTTACAGATACAGGATGTGTTTTCTTAAGAAAAGATGATTTTGGTTTTTGCTTGTGTTTTTGCAGTCAATGTTTTAATTCCTTTTTTGGAACTAGCTTCTTAACCTATCCTTGAAATTAGGTCCAAGAGAACTTACAGGTGCTGTGGATCTTATAAGTCACTACAAGTTGTTGCCTCACTATGATTTTTTCTGCAAGAGACCACTGCCGGCATCAGTATCAGACGCGCACTATCTTCACAATGTGGTTGGGGACACAGATATCAGAAAAGGGGAAGGCATGCAATTAGGCCAGCTTATTCAAGATGCATCCACATCGAGGGAAACTAAAACCCGTATACAACCTTTTGACTTAGATGTCCTTCGAGAAGCTTTTCAACTGAGGGAAACTGCTCCTGTATCTCTTCCTCCAGTGAGTTTTTGCACTGCACTTGCGATATTATTTGGCTGCTATAGAGAATAAATTAGACTGCAAAGAGATTAATTCTATGTATTGTTATAACATTTTGTAGTCTGAGAAGGGTATTCCCACCATTTCTGGGAAACCTAGAAGTGAATCTAAAGACAAGGAGAAGAAACATAAAAAGCACAAGGACAAGGACAAAGATAAAGACAAGAATAAAGAGCACAAAAAGCATAAACATCGGCATAAAGATCGAAGCAAAGACAAGGACAAGGAGAAGAAAAAAGATAAAAATGGTCATAATGATTCTGGCAATGACCACTCGAAAAGACATCATGAGAAGGTTTGTGAACTGTTGCAATTTCAAACTGGTTTTATCTCCCATTTTCATTTGTCCGTTAATAGAACCATAAATGCAAGTCTCGGTACATGTCTCTCCTAAAAAAAATTCTTCACCCAGATATCCCGAAGAATCCTAATCAGTGTTGCTCAGAATATTTTTTTAGTAATACGTAAGGCAATGCTCATACATAGTAAGTTAGTATACTTTTTTAAAATTATAACGTTGCTCCAAACTTCCAAGGGAAGTCCAGTCTGAGCCTATTATTTTGATGGAAAATCTTGATCACCTGATGTTCTCTCTACTGAATGTAGTATTTATTTGGAGGATGACAATCTCAGGTGGCTATGCTGGTAAAAAGAGAACCACAAACACTAAGAGTGAATGACCGGAAATTTAAAGTTTTAGTTTGTTGTTAATTTGGTTCACTTATATGGTTTCATAACGTAATGGTGTCTCAGTAGATTTTTCTTTTTCTTTTTTTTGTGATGGCATTGTTGATTGAACTTGTAATCAAACTGCATTTGTCAATATCTGTATTTCAGAAGAGAAAACATGATGGAGATGAAGACGGCAACGACATTCATAAACACAAGAAAAGTAAGGTAAAAATAGGAGCAGTCAACTGTGTTTATCAGTTGTATTTTTTTCCTCAAATTTCTTATAAGTGGTGCTGGTGTTACCATAGTTTCCTGAAGCAGTTGCTTATTTCTTCTGTAAATTATATAAATGACACCTGAAATTTTGCAGCACAAGAGCTCAAAGATAGATGAAATGGGAGCAATAAAGGTAGCAGGCTGAAGGTGGTGCTTGATCTTTTAATTTTATGACCAAATGTTGGAAGTGAGAGTTGTGGTATTCTGTGCTAACTATTGTGAAATTACCTGAGGTACATAATCATTTATTAGTGAAAGCTCATTTCTGTCTTCATGTTTTATCTTGTTCTTTAAGCATATATGATTTCCATTCAGTGGCCTAGATAGAAGTCTATAAACGTCTAATCAAAATGTCTTATACAATTGGCTCAACCTTTATCAAATGAACGGGATCAGAACAGCACCAAAATTTAAAAATGTATGTCATTAGAGAGCCTAAACCCTCGAACCCAACTCCGCAATAAAAACAACAAAAACCATGAAAAAATTATGTATGGTGAGTGTCCTACATTGTCCTGTCAGCTCTATGGTCAAATGTACGTGAATATGACCATTTAATATTGAGTCTATGGATGAACTGATTTTTGCACTCATCGTCTACTTCGATCTTTTGGGTTTCTTTTATCTTTTGGTATTTGGAGTGCAGTACTTCATCACTGAGTTTGTAGGTCCGATCTCCTTTCAGAAATTAAGTATAACAAAAATTCCCACAAAAATGCCTGGCCTCAAATCTTTCCCTTTTATTTTGTTATTATTAAAATTCTTAAATTGATTGAAAATGCTCGAGATATCTTAAAACAGTCTAAGTTGCAGTTCCACATTCATATAGAAAACTAAAATGACTCTTCATACTTCTAGGCAGATTAAGTTATCCAACACGGAATTTCAACTAATAACTGGGTATTTTGGTGGACTTGACAGTACAATTCAATATTTCTCTTAATTGCAATAATTGTTTTCAATTGTCCTAATGTTGTTTGTTTATTGGTCTTTGATTTTCTTTTCAGTATTTGATTTTCAATGTTCTTGATTTAACAAATAGAGTGGAATACACTGTCTAACAGTCTGACGGTCACTTTTTCCCGTAACATTTTTTCGGGATGCATGACTTTTTAACTGGTGACTTGCGAGTGGTACCTTGACTTTTGCATTACCTGAACCTGTAAAGACCTGCATAGTAATTTAACCATTTATAAGAAAGCTTCATTGTAATATCATGTTAAATTCATAAATATAGTTACCACTAGGTGGATTTCAATCCCCCTTACTATAAATAGTGGCATAGTTAACATGGGGATTGCCAGAAATAGGTTGTGAACAAACCAATGCATATGAGGTCCAGAGTTAAATTCTCACGGTGAAGTTTTGCCATGCCAGTAATGTAACACGTGCTGAGAAATGTTTGACTGCTCTGCATCCTTTTGTTTCTTGTAACCCTTTATTTCTGTCATTACTTGCATAAAGTCTCCAGTTGAGGGGATGTAACTACACCTGGAAGAGTGAAGTAATAATTTTAGGAATTGAGTCCTCACATTGGTATTATAAAATGCATGGGATTTAAGCTTACGATTATGTATATGTAACTAGACCTAAAAGGGTGTTTTCTCATTGTAGTTGAATACATGTTATACCAAGAAATATTTTCACTTTCCTCTGGCTTTTTCTGTAAACCTGCTTGTCAAACGACCACCTTGTCTGGTGGACTTGTAAAGGAATCATCTAACATCTATTAGTAATACAACCTCCTTCTTCTATTGCAGGTTGTATTCTATCTTGGTGTGTACGTAATTATATTATTATTATTATAAATGTGGTTTACAGTGAAAACTTTGAGGTCCCTTATGATACATGTCCACTCAAAATATAGTATTATCTAAAATAATTTGCTTTGCCAGTATAACTGTCATTGGATCAATAGTTTTTCTTCTATTCTAGGTTTTATCTGTTTGCATTAACAGAATTGATTTCCTTAAAAAATGTCATGGGGCTTACTCAAACTGCCTAAAGAATGCACTTGATTTTCCATTTGCTATTACTTCACGTTTAGACATTTGCATGTCTAGATAATGTCATATTGATTAGGAGCTGCTCTGAACAGTGTGGAAATTATAGCTATGAGAAGGTACCATTTGTGCACTGTGTTTTTAACCCTGACAAGACGCGCACTGCTTCTATTACATAGTTTTGCATTTTGTTTGCAGAGCCTATTTGGACTCACTAAAGATTGCTGAGAAGATGAATTCACTTGGCGAAGTGAATTCAAGGTAATATTGGGTGTCTCTGCAAACACTAACAAATAATTCTTAGTCTTTTAGGGAAAAACTGGGAGTATTTTTCTCCTGAATGCTATATAGAAGGCATTCATTTTCCCTTTCTTTTGGTGTTTGCAAACACACCCATTGTTGAAAACGGACTTATCTGATGTTGTTACTAGGCTCTCATCCAACTGCAACGTTCATAAACATTTTCTTATTCTTTGCTTTGTAAGAAATGGCAACCGATATCTTAGTTCATTGTTTTTGTCCGGTTATCCGATCCAGAGGTACAGGCTATATATGTTTTATCTTTGGGGATATAATCTTTGTGGCTTGGGTAGTCAAAGAGAATAGGCTAAGATGGGTAATGATGTGTTTTTACTTTTGAACTTCTAGGGAGCATATAACTTGCATTGTAGGGATATGATGATCATGTATTTTCGGACAAGGTAAATCCGACAACATACATTTTTACGAGTATCTATTGAAATCGAGCTCTTTGTGACAATGCCAAACATTTAAATGTTTTCTTGTAGTTGGAAATGAGATCGCTTGATGGCTAATCGAAATTATGCTCTTGAGTGAGTGTATATGTTTATGTAACTGTCGTTTTAAACTGTGTTTGAAATGAGACTTGGCAAGTGCTAGTCCTTGCAACTCACTCTCGAGATTGACTTATTGATCTATAAGTAGGATCGATTAGTAGTCTTGTCCTTTGGTCATAGGCACTTAAATTAGTTCAATGAAAAAAATAAGGGCATAAATATTAAACGACAACATCTTTTAACAACATATAACGATCATTCTTCCCATTTTTGGTTTTTTGTTACGAAGAAACTCAGTTTAATGGAGCCAATTTCTTATACATCTCGATCTACGACAAATTCTACCAGTTCATCATGATCGGCATCCTCATCGTCATCAGACAACACCGATATCTCATGTTCGGTCGTGCACCTTCTTCTAACACCTCTCAAAAGTCGGCACACCTCACGCATCGTTGGCCTCTCCCGTTCAATCGGTGACATGCAAACGCAAGCAACTTCAAGAACCTGGAGAATCTCGTCGTCAAAACCCTTTTCGACCAAGAACCCATCGACCACATCCTCAAGCTTAGACGAGCTCGATAGTCCCAAAATCCACCCCACCAAATTTCCCCCAAAATCATCCGGGACTAATCTAGCCACGTACGTCAGTTTTTCCCTCGTCACCAACTCCAAGAGCACGACCCCAAAGCTGTAGACGTCGCCTTCTTGAGAGTTCGATAGTCTCAGGATTAAACGGTTGGTTGGTAGAAAGTCGGATATTCTGGGCTCGTAACCCTCGTCCAACAAAATGCATTTTGGGTCGATATCTCCATGGACGAGGCCCATGCTGTGGAGCCACGCGAATCCTTCCGCAGCCCGCAAAGCAATTTGGAGCCTTAGCGGCCAATGCATAATCTTGTCCCCAACATTCAAGATGTGCAACTTGTCATGAAGTGTGCCATTGGGCATGTCCTTGTAGACCAACAATCTTTCCTTCTTAGTCAGACAAAAGCCGACGAGTGGGGTCAAATTGCGGTGTTTCATGTTTCCTAGGGCCACGACCTCAGATACGAATTCTTTCTCTGCGTAGTGAATGTTCCGTAGCCGTTTTACCAGGAAAGAAGTCCTGTCCTGGAGGACTAACTTGTATGTAGTCCCTGTACTTCCGCACACGATTATGTTTTCTCTGCTGAAGTCATTTGTCGCCTTCATGAGGTCGTGAAAGCTCATTCTGGGAACTGATTTCCCAAACATTGAAATCTGAAAAAACATTACACATTCATGTCGATCTATGTCATAAAAATCATGAAACTAGAATGTAGGCTTAACAAGATGGTCAAAATGTCTAGTCCGAGTAAAAAAGGTAACATTTTTCAAAAGACGCGCAAGTGATCTAACTTACCTTAACTCGTTCGGCACGTTTGATACTCTTGGTCCATTTGTTGCAAAGAGGATCACACTCTCTTTGCTGCTGCTTTTGCTTCTGTTTCTTCTTCTGCCTCTTCTTGTTTGTGAACCGTGTACAGTATAAATAGCACCAAAAGCCGAGGGCGAAACCCAAAGGACAACCAACAGCAGCTCCAATGATTGTCGCATTATCAAGTGTCCGTGGACCAGCTAGGCCCATGCAAAGAGGCAGCCCAGGCCCGCCACACAGGCCCGGGTTACCCTCATAACTATCAGCTCCAATGGCAGTGGAATTATAAAATCCAGGCACAGGCCCACTCAGCTGGTTCCTCGCCACTGAGAACGACTTCAGCCGGCCCAACTGACCAATCTGCCAAGGTATTTGACCGGTCAAACGATTATTGTCCAGCTTGAGTGTGTTGAGGAAAGTGCAGTTGGCGAGGTCCACCGGAATTTCCCCCGAGAAGTGATTTGACGAGAGGTCGAGGGAAGTGAGTAGGCCGATGTAGAGGGAGATATTAACCGGAATCTGTCCGTGAAGCTCGTTGCTCGAGAGATCGAGTCCGGTCATGGACGAACAATTTATTAAGCCCAACGGGAATTCGCCTCTGAGACCCATTCCCGAGAGTTTGAGGTTTAGGACTTTGTTGTCGTTTTCGTGCCAGCAATCGATGCCGTTGAAGTTGCATATTTGCGTGAGGGTCCCATTGGCGAAATTCCAGGTTTCAAAGTAGTTGTTTGGGTCTTGCAAAGAAGCTTTTATGGATGAAAGGCAGTGGATAGCGGCTTCACTAGCGTGGGAGAGTTTAATAAACAGGAGGACACAAATTGAAACGGTAATGTGGGCATATGGAGCATGGAAATAGTTAGATGACAACATGTTATGTTTGCACTAGAAAAAAGAAAATTAGTACTAGAATTAACTCACCTCAAGTTGGACAACGAATTGTTCTGTAAAAACCAATGGTAGAGGCACATAATAAAGCATTGGATTTTACAAGTTGGCACAAAATAAATGTGCGTCAATGAAAAGATGGTGGTAAAAGAAAATGACAATAGAGATATGCCAAGGTCTGACTTCTTTTTTTTTTTGCCCGGGATAATACTTGATAATTAAGCTGATAATGATGTCATATAGTTTTTTCCTATGTCCAAACATGATATTCTAACAAATAAATATAATATTTTTTATAATGTAAGAAAGAATAATGATGTCATATAGTTTTTTCCTATGTCCAAACATGATATTTTAACAAATAAATATATTTTTTATAATGTAAGAAAGAGGGATTACTTAGAATACCTGTGAGTACAAAATTTTATACATGCTTAGGCATTTTATGTATGGGTAAATTTTTGGATCTTGCCAGTAATTATATCATGTAAAGTTCATACTGTGTTTCAAAAATTTTATGGCCGGTGAGAAAGCTAAGCTAGAAGGAGACTACAGAAAACGACCATTTGCGACGACCATAAAAGATTGACTGCTCATAATTAGGAAATGCAAAAGTAAATGGAAATCAACCAGTCTTAAAAGTTGAAACACGACCTATAAAAGTAAAAACACGTCATATGGTCGTCTGCTAATTAGTTAGGAATGTTCAAAGAAAATGAACTTGTGGAAATCTTGATCAAGACATTTTGACTTGGATTGAAGATACACACGGAAACTTCTCGTTATTTGTTTACTCAAGTTTTAACTCAGAAACTGAAAATAAAATAAAAAATATATAAAAATAATGTTCGTTTCATTTCATTTTTTTTTCTGTAACTTCCACTAATAAAATTAAAAATAAAAATAAAAATTAATTATTTTATTATTATTATATATTTTTCATTAAAAAATAATATTAACCCAATTGCATATTTCTAGTTACTAATTTTACCAATTAACATTTTATTATTATTACACCACCTCCAGTTTAAATTGTTATATTTTTATCTCATATACATTCACAATCTCAATTATCTAACTTGTTTTCAAAATATTTTCGTTTCCTACTTTTCATCTCATTTTCATGAGATAATTATTTTCGAAAAAGTTTTATATACATTTTTTTAGATC